TTTTTTTTTATATTTAGCAATCAAAGTCCTCCCAATAGTAGTCGTTTTTCCAAACGCTCGTCTATTGATAGTGGCATTAATATGGATATACGTAGTAAACCTGTCAAATCCTATAAAGAATTCAACCGTTTGCATAGGTAGATTACAAAACTATTAATTCAAATGTGTTATATACGATTGTTTTTATTTAGCTTTGATTCTCATCATCATGACACTTTTAATAGCATGACGCTCGATTCACCTTTGGACACTTTAGCAGCCTCGAATACCACTGGAACTTTATTATCGCCATTAAGGAAAATGGACTTTGCTTTATGTAAGTTTTAATTGCATTCTATCGATTACGCGACCAGCATCATGAGGCATCTCTGAGTTTTCTATTTTTTTTTTTTTGTTTTTTTTTGTTTTTTTTTTTTTTTTTTGTTTTTTATTATTTTAATTTAAATGAAACTTTACAATTTTTATAATCACTTGTTGTAATCATCACGAATTAGGCGAAGTGTCGACAGGTGATGCAAGTCCTTCACGCAAGAAAGATAACGATAGCGAAGACAGCTCGGCGATTGATAACGACGAATGTAGTGCAGTAACAATATCAAATAGTAAAACAATTGAAGGCGTTGTAGGTCAGTTCACATCCTTAAGCAATAATTTGAACACTATTCTCGCAAATCGTCGTTTTTCATTTTATTTTATATTTCATTCTCATTAATCATCTCTCTGTCTCTCTCTAACCACATAATCACTGATATTATTTCTATATATATTTATATATAAATATATATACGTATATATATACATATAACTTTGAACATTTCTATGGCTAATTAACTCTGTGGAATATAGTCTCTTTATTATTGCTGTTGTGATTTAATGATTTAACAATTTCTTGCTCAAACGATATTGTTAGTAGTTGTTTTGTGCGAGAAATAGAAAAGCAACAAAAAAGAAAAAAAAAAAAATTGTAGACATTCTTCCAAAAAAAAAAAAGTTGCACACGCGCACACATAATACACATATCAAGATATACACACATTGATATTAACATAAATAAATATAAAATTATGTACAAAAGAAATTCATTTTCAATTGATGTTGTTTACTGTGTTGTATGGCATATGGTATATATTTTCGTGTTATTATATAAAATGAGTGTGTTTCCACCTGTACATCGACACACTTTTAGATTTGCAATTAACATATACCTAGTCAGTCACATATATATATATATACACATATACGTATACATACACATACACACACACTTTTAGCTAATTTCCATGTAAATATCAAAAAAATGTAAATAAAATTACAAATCTTTACCACTCACCACGAGCTTTTAAATGTTACATTCAAAAAATCCAAAAAAAAAGAAGGAAAAAATACTTTGGTGCCTCTGAATTTTTTTTTTTTTTTGTATATTATTGAACTCTTACATATATATACATACATATATATACAATTGTTATTAATGTTATTTTCCGTACTTATGGTTCTTTGATGTAGTAATTTGCTATATATATATATATATATATATACATATACATATCTATCTGTGTGCGTGTATGTATTTTGGTTTGGTGTTAACTATATATTTCTTGGTTAACAAATTTTCGCCAATCGCCTCCTCCCTGGATCAATGTACTTATTATGAAAAATTATTATTTCTGACATTTGCAGGGGACTCAGATGCTAAAGTTTTAACTCTCGCTGAACATATCATAGCTGCTATGCCTGAACATATAAAGGTATGTCTCCTTAGTGTTAATTTCTTACCGATATTTCGCGTGATAGTTTTATGGAAATTGTATCTTCTTCTTTTTTACTTTGACAGAATGAAGCGGATGAAATGATGATTTTAGGCAGTCCCATGACCGAGCCTTTAAATTCAGAATCATCAGGTTTAAATGATAGTTTTATGGACCCATTATTGGACTCTTTGCCTAACACTCATTTCGATAATGATTTCGCTTTCGATTTTAATGATCATAGTAGTTATCGTTATCACGATGTAAGTACACCCTGTTCCAGTTTAAGTCCGGCTAGCTCGGGACCTTTACAATCGCCAGCTAGTTATTCAATTTTGGGACATGATCCATCGGTCAGCTCACCAAGTCCTCCGCCTTCAACAAAACAATTAACAGAATTTTTACACGCCTCTAGCAGCACTCAATATCCGTTCGTAGCTGATTTTTCTAAATTAACCTTGACAGGTAAGAAAAAGTTTTAACAATAGTTAATATTAAACAAAAAATTAAAAATATATTTCCTTTTATTATCTTTAGATACCGAACAACGTGAACTATATGAGGCGGCTAAATGCATACAAAAAGCTTATCGCTCTTATAAGGGTCGTCAGAAACTAGAAGAACAAAACAAAGAACGTACAGCCGCAATTGTAATACAAAATTATTATCGCCGTTACAAGCAGTTTGCCTATTATCGGCAAATGACAAATGCTGCTCTAGTCATACAACACGGTTATCGTTCATATCGCCGCAATAAGCGATTTAAGAAATCCCTACCTACACAAAATGCATCTCCTAATAATCAATACTTGGAAGACAACAATGCAAACTCTTCACAGTGTTTATCGAGTTTTTTTGAAAGCTATAACGGCCACAACAACAGCAGCAACAACAATAAGCTTGATCTTCATCATCATTGCCCCTTCTCAACCGACACCAGATTAAATTCGCCACAAGCAAACAAATTGAACTGCTCAACAGCTATACACAATGAGACTAGTCCCTCAGGACCATTAAAGTAAGATAAATGACTGAAAAATCGGACAGAGTTGCATTTTTCTTTCTTCGTTTTGTTTTTTCTCTCCTCAGACGCACTTATTCGCAGACAACCCAAAATCAAGCTGCCAGAAAAATTCAACAATTCATGCGACAATCGCGAATAAAGTAAGTAGAGAAAAGGAATTTGACCCCTCAGAGTACATCTTGGATAATACTGCACTTTCGTATTTGACAGGTGTAGAATCTTTACTTCTTATAGGTGGTTTTAATACGTACTATTTTATACTTACCAAGAACAGGCGTTTTGTGGCAAGTGGCCGATCGCAAACATTTTCAATAGAGTTTATCCTTGGACCGAGTTTCATTACAATGTCTCAATAATTGCGGCCTGTAGGTTCAGGGTCAAAATATATGTGTGGACATCAAACGGACGGACAGATCTATTTAGAAGATGACTCTAAATTGATCAATATTCAATTTTCATATTTCAAATCCTTAGCGGCCTCGTATATGGTACATCCGCACGAACGTAATCCACCTTTGTGCGACAAGTGGCGTAGGGTGTAATTATTATCAGAAATCCCTATAAAGTACATTACTGTCGTTAAGAGGTTGTAAGAGTGAAGAGTATATTTAAGTGTTGAAACCGGTCACTGCTCATAATTGAAAGCAATTTGTGTTTTTCTTTTTTTGGATTCATATCAAGTTCGGTGTTCCGAAGGAATAATCATAATTAATCGTTTCACCATCTTATATAAAACAACGGGGTTGTTAGGTCACGCAAATCACAAGCAAAACAATGAGTTATGACTAGAAATGCCTCTGTAATGTTGTTCAGAATACCACTACAAGTTTCTTTCGATTATCATGGGATATTTAATACGGGTTCCTTTCTTTGGGGCAAAGTATTAAGATAAGGTATAGTGTTTGAGCGTGGTGTTTATTTAAGTAATTCTATGCGTCAGAATTATGAACAGACGTCTCTTAATTTTTATGCATTAATCTAATGCCTCTAATGCTCATGTGGTATTGGCATTTCGACACTTTTCCATCACTAATGCCATTCGTAACGTGTCGCTACCATTTTATTCGATTGCTTTGCCTTCGCTTGGCCTCTGGTTATTCTCGAAGCTCAAAAACTCGAAAAACCGTTCCAGAAACGTAATTTTAACTAGGCTGATGACATAAAGTCGAATCCAAAAATATCGTTTTGTTCTCTTAGTGGCGTTTAATTTGGTATCGAGCGTAGTTAAGGTGTGTTGCCTAAGAAGGGCGTAAAAAGAAAATTAGTTTGAGTAAGCTGGAGCGGATTAAATGAAAAAGTCTTACTGCTGTTTGAACCGTGAATACAATTTAGCCATATCTGTGCGTTGATAGAACGCTCAGGGTTACACTGCGTGTCTAGATAAAGCTTCAAAAATTTGTGTTGGTTGACCTTTAGACTCCTGGTCGCAAAAGGCAAGAGGCCAAACAAAAAATGCATCTTACGACCCATACTTGGTACAAGTCTCTACTACGAGTTTCAATAGCTTCAACGTCATAATCTTGATGGCGTCTATTAAATACATTTGAGTTTCGTTGGTTATCGGAACTAACTAAGCAGACCATTTTACACTTGTTTTATTTGAATACATTTTACATGGAACTTAGATTTATAAAATTTCAATGTCAATGTTCAAGGGCTTACATGTAACACAATTTAAAGGATTCAAAAGCCATGCACAGGTCCGTGCCCTAAAAAACTTATGCTATGCCTCCTCGATATACTGTTTCTTTATTGCTTCCTTTAAATTTAATATGGATGTTACTGCAAGAGAAATGTTTTTAATTAAAATATTTTTAATATAAATTTTTACTTATGAAAAATTCATGCTAGCATTTGGGACGAAAACGTAGCTACTTTGGTAAGACATTTAAAAGCTGATGCGCATATTTTAAATTGACTTAATAATAAAAAAAGGTTGAATATGTGTACACATATATATATATATATATATATATATATACTGAAGGAGATATTAATTATCTACTTTTCTTTTGTTTTTATTTTTTATGCAGACTACAGAGAGAACGAGCCGCAAGAGAGAAGCTGGTGCACCAACACAAGGCGGAATTCCCTCAAAGCTTGCAGTATCCAGAACAAGTGGTAACAATTGCTTGTCAAATCGAAAATAGATAGTGGATTGAGATTATTGCGATCCAATTATAAAAACAAAAACAATTCTTCTAGAGCTTACACAAAAAAAAAAACATTTGGTAGTCATTTTTAAACTATAAAAACATTCTATTTGTGGTGAAACAAACAATTTTACGTAAACTTTAATTTAATTGTAGATTTAAGCAACAATTCTATATTCTTCCAAAAAAGATACAAAAAAGAGAAAAAACAAAAAAAAAAAAAAATGTTTTTAATGCACTTAAATGTATTCTACTATTACACAAAGCCAAAGATCCTCTTAATTAATATTGTTTCGGGTAGTTTAAGTCAAACGAATATATATATATACTTAAGTAAATAATGGTTGAATTTTTATTACAAGAACCTTGATATTAATGAGTGAAACTTTAAACTTACAAAGAAAAAAAAAAAAGAAAAACTTTAAAACCTAACCAAATCTCAATTGATTCGATTCAATTTTTAAATGAATTAAAAAAACACTCCTCAATCTCATCATGATTAATATGTGAAAAAAAAAGAAAATCAAACTTTGAAAAAAAAATTATATATATATATATTTTTTTTTTTTTTAGCTAAAAAGTGTTTATTTATTATGCACGCAGTCCTTCTCTTCTCTCTTAGGCTAAATTATTTTAAAAAAAAAGAAGAAAATAAATACAATTAATGTTAGAAAAAAAAAGCAAAGGAAAATTTAAAAGCACTTCTATACAAAAATTTTGATTTTCTTTTCAAATCAATGAATCAAATAATTACGAATTTTCTTACGATATAAAACCATTAGACTTCATTACCAAGCCTTTTAAAATAAAACAAAAAAAAAAAAAGAAAACAAAAAAGATATAAATCATTTTACTACAACAACTAGTCTTAAGAAATGAAACATTTACTCTCTCTTATTATTCTCTCTCTCTCTCTCTAACTAATTTAATCAAATACAAAAGGACATTTTTTTTGTATATAAACTAGGAAAACCCTTTACAAAATCTTTTCAAAGAACTCTATCTGAAAAACAAAGACTTATTTTGGGTTTTTTTTTTTTTCAATTTTCTGCAAACTCAATGAAGTTATAAAAAAGCAAAAAAAAAAAAAGTGTATAGATATAAAAAAATGTAGACCTATAGCTCTCTATTAAAGAACTTATTTATTGAAGTAAAAGCAAGCCAGAAAACCATATGTATCTTATATGTCTTTATCTCCACTATGAAATTCAAAACTAATCGAATTAATTTTCCATTTCATTTTTTCTGAACTTGATACAAAAACTAAAAAAAAACTCTAATCTAATTGTAGTCGAACTGATTCTAAATCAACAAAATTTAATATCTTATTAGATGTTAAGTCAAGGCTAAAAGTGTGAAAAATATAATCTTGAATAGGCCAGCACCTAGGTCCAAGATATTTTCTAGTTAAGCTCAATTTATCAACAATCGTTTTTTTTTTTTTCAAAATCTTGCATTATTTATAAGAGAATGATTAATATAAGTAAAATTTTTTCAAAATATTTCCTCGCTTATGGACCCACACCCAGAGCTGAGCTTAATAATTGCTTTAAATTTGCGTTTATCATTCGATTTTTATATCCTTGCGATATTTATAAGTATGTTTTCACTTCATCTTGAAATGAATCGTGACTTCAAATGTATTTATTTATCAATAAGCGATATAAAGATTCTGTGTAAAAAGTCACCGGAATTGTTTCGTTGGTATTAAAGCAACGCTTTGCCTTCTGCACTTTAGTAGCAGGCATTTTGGTACTTTAATTTAATTGAAGACGCCTTCATTCAATGGGTGATTTCAATTTTTTAAAATACGACCGAGTTAGGCGAAGCTATTTTAGAAAATCATACTTTCCTCGCCGTTTCTTTTGCAAATCTATTTAATTGCATTCAAGAGGACTTAAAAACTTTAGGAAAAGTCTTGCCCATTAACCATGGAGTCTTTATCATCAAGGCAAAAGTCAAAAACTTGAAGTAAATCTGCGAGTGATTCATTTCCCTGTGGGTACCTATTAGCTTTTATATATGAATCGTCTTTTAAACTTTTGCGCGTAGCAACCAAAATGACAGTCACTTGAACAAATGCATTTGGTCTTTAGTGCTGTGTAGATAGTCAGTGTATATCAGCGAGCTTAAAGTAAAGTTTTATTAAGTATTATTTTCTTTAACAGAAAACGAAAGACAAAATGAAAGGTTAACATCAAAATGCCAATTATTATATCCATCATCGAAGGATGAGGGGATGCAACAGAGACCTTACAAAGTGTATATATAAGCAGCGAATTGTAAATCGATTTAAGTATGTCCATCTGTCTGTCCTTGTAAATATCAAGGTAAACTGGACGCAAAAATGTAGCAATCCACTCCAAATTTGGTGTATAGAACTGGGAGTGTTCGCACGTAGACTGGTAATGAAACTTAGCCAAATTGATCAAAAAATAAGACCTCAATAGAAGACGTAATCTGATACCGCCTCTGTTTCAAAAAATAAAAAAAAAATTGGTTACTTGGTTCTTGCTTATATAAACTACAAGAGATGCAAGGATACAAATTTTCATTGGTTATCTTGCAGCAATTGTGCAAAAGTGGGAAAATATCAGCCACGCCCACGCAATATTATACAATAATAAAATTTCATTCTTGTTCCGAATGTTTACAACCCTCGGAGGGGAATTTCAGGGAGCCCAGAGGGTCGTTACATCAAACGATGATGGATATAAAAGATTCGGTTTTTTTTTCATCTTGTTTTCATTACGAAAATAATCAAAAATAAAAAATTTGAATTTGGAAATGATTTGCAGAAATAAATGTGGTTTAGGATTCGTATTTGAATTATTGCTTGGAAGTTGTTTTGTAATACGAAAAAGTTTACTTCTAACGATCAATATTAATAATAATGAATATTAATAATAATAATAACTGAACCCAAGAAAAAGATTATTAAATAAATTAATAAATTAAAATAAAACTCATATAAGAAATTGTTAGTTTAGTCCGTCCACAATGTAAAGCTTTCATAAGATGAAAACTTCAAAAAGTAAAAACAAAAAAAAAAAATGGAAAAAATTATTTATAAAAAAAGTTCATAAACTATAAACAATTTTATGTTTTCACAAATTAAATATTAAAATATATATATATATATATATATTCAAAACTTTGCAAGAGTAGTGAAATTAATTTAAGTTTTATTTATGTTTATAATTTGGAAACTTCTTTAATTTAACCCGCCTTTGTTGTAATGCACAGATAATGAATTAAAAATGTGAATGTGAAAAACTATTGTAAAAAAACAAACAACAAGAAGAAGAACATTTAAGCTCAATAGAGAATTGTTAAGAAATGAAATGACAGGAATATTAAAAGAAGAATATAAATTTAATGATAATAATGATAAACGAAAAACAAAATGAGAAAATTTAAAAAAAAAAAAAAATAAAAATAAGAAAACAATAATTAAATAAATAAATAAAATGTTTGTTCAAAGGCTGTGAATAACTTATTACGTATTTGTGTAGGAGTGTATGCACGAGCATATGTTTTACGTATGTCTTTGTATGGATACAATAAATATAATAACAATTAATTCGAAATTTTGTGAATTATTTTAATACAAATTTTGATTTTTTAAATTTTGCAAACAAAATATTTGACAACTGAGAAGAAAAAAACCATAACTTGTGAAAAGGTTTTATGTAAAGATAATAAGGTATTAATTAATTTCTTTTATTTTTTTCTATTTTTCCTTTTCATCTACCACGCGGGATAGGATAGTGAAGTCCTTTCAAATGCTTGCAATTATTAGAGAGGAACAGTTGGGGCCCCATTATAACCACCTAGAACTCACAGTAAAGTTTCCCGCTTTTTCAAGTTCTTAAGTTCATGTGTTTCTAATTACAGTCCCAGACACTTGATCATGTGATCGCTGCAGAAGTTTCAAAGTGTATTTTCAAACAAAAGACCCATAACCCAAAGCAATTCGACTTGCTGATTCGTCGATTTCAAGTCCAAAAGTTTGGACTTCATGACCTCTTCATCGGATTAAATTAGAAAGTCAGCCAAACAGATGAATGGCTTCACCCATAGCCAACATAAATAAATAAATGTTATTGTTTCGTGTTAACCGATGAAGCAATTGTTTACGGGCTTATCTCTTTGGAGTAGTAATGAATACATCACAGAGTAAGTCCCCGCTCTGACATATACAAGGCGACACTGACGACACACCCATGCTAAAATTTCTTGACCCTGCGACGATTAATTCACCCTTATTGTAATGACACTGACTGATCCCTTCTTCCTTTCTAAGATAGATAACAAATATTATAACATGTGTATCCGCAAATACAGACTCCATAATCGTCTCAGTCGGCTTTTAACTTCGCTGTCACTTTGTCGATTACTGGCCGCACGGCTCTCTTTTAATTTGCCTAAACAGCCCCAGACAGCACTTTGAATCATTAATATATTGCCATCAAAAGTAAGCAAAGGCGGCAAATTGCGGAAAATAGGAAATGCACTGACTTCTGGTATCTTTAAGGTGTCAGTTATCTCAAGCGACTTCGCTTTACGAACTTTCAAAACGATTTTGTGCATCTTTTTTATGTTTTCTGGAACGATCGCCGAATTTGGGCGAGCAGAGCATTGAACATTACTGGGTTTCGTACTATTTCGTTTCAAATCGGCAAACCATCGATAAATTGTTGGTTTTCGACGAGACGAGTCGTCATAATCCGATACTCTATTGCTTTCGTTGGGTTGGGCTTCTCTTTCGGTGTATTTAAAAAGGGATATTTGTGGTATCATGGTATCATGACTAAAAAAGAAATGCTCGATATTTCTCGATAACAAGAACCGTAAGCCGACTCCCGACTTTTCCATTAGGGATTATCCAAACACCTGCCGTTTCTGAAATAATTTTGACACCTATCGTTTGAAAGCTGGTACTATTCAGAAATCGTACGAGTATTGCTATATATGCTTCAGACCAGAGACTTATTGAGTGATGTATTAGATATATCATTGCTGTTGTTTTGTCGGTGAAACAAAAACCCCGCAAACGGTGGTAGACCAAAGAAATTCGGTTTAAGTCGCATTCATTTTTTTTTTTTTTTTTAATATTATTTCGGTATTTACAAGTTATTTAGATACACACACACATACGAATGTACCATCACTACGCCATCAATATTATGTTTATGTATATACAGTACGTATATTATTATTTTTAATATTATTTTTTTTCTTTTCTTTTTATCTTATTATCGATTATTTATCTACTTCAGTACCTCAAGCCGGCTACGATGGCATTAAAAATATGAAAAACAAAAATTTTGTTTCCTTTTCAGATTTATTTATTAATTTAAGCGTATTAATAAAACAAATAAAGGAAACGAAGTGAAAAATTAGATTTTTAATAAATGTCACGAATATATATATATATTAAAATCAAAAATTCTTTTTCTCTTATGTTATAAATTATTAAAAAGTAATATTAAATATCACTAAAACTAAATTTTTTTTTAATTTTTCTTATAACTTCTTCCTAAACTAGTGAAATTAACTAAAACAAAAAAGGAAAAAAAAAAAACAAATATAAATTAAAAATATTTTAACAGCTTTAATGTCAAACAAAATCCTATATATATAAAAAAAAAACCAAAAAATAATAATAATTTTTAGCTTAGTTATTATTAGATTAGATTTTATTTTATACAAAATCCATAGTTGCTTCTACTACTCTAATATTAATGATATTACTACTCGACTATTGACATACCACTACTTACGAAATTTTTGCTATTTATCTTATTGACTTAATTATATTAAAAGTTATTAAATAATTAATAAAATTATGTTCGCCTTCACGCGAATCTTGAATAACCACCACTTCAAACGGACAAGTAACAGAAACAGCATTCCTTTGTCGAATAAGGCTTAACTGTTAATTGTTAACTGATTGAGATTGCTTTGGATATTCAATAATTCAATATTTGCTATAAAGTCCAAAATTACCAATGTTCGTTTGTTTAAAGACTTCTTTCAAATTTGTTTTCAAAGTTGTTTTACCAATGGATTACTTGCTCCTGTTCTAAACCAATTACACACGGTGTTTGCTTCTAGCTTGCTTTTCATACCCATCACCGAAGAATATTCATCGTTTTGTGAAAACGCTTGCAACACCCAGAAGAAAGCTTCAAATATCCCATAAGGTATACATAATACGGGTCTACCGGAAAGTTTCGTTCCTTCCGGTTACAACACGTTCCATCAAATATGCGCATATTCACTTGACGCCTATTTCGCTCTCTCTTTCTCTCACTGAATGTATACTGTATATTGTCCCAGCACTATGTGAGATGCGATCGTGCAGTAAAGGCCACTGTCTATTGTACGAATTCTGACAAAGAGCAAATGCTACAGAAGCGTGTAGAAATTCTTTTACAATGTTTAGGACAGGTACAGGATCTAACAGAACAGAATAGAAGACGGTTCAAAAAACTTCAAACATGTGATTTCGACCTTTCCGATAAACCACGTTCTGGTTTTTTGCAACGACGCTACTTTCAAGATCGTGTTAAAGCAAAATCATTTTTTGACAACGTCGGAGATTTCGGAAAGACTTGATTCAGCTCAAGATAGCCTTCCGGACCATATTCGGAAACCATGATTCGACGGCCCGAACTTTCTGATAGATATAATAAAACAATTTGTTTGCTTCAGTTGAATGTAGGTCTTACGGCATTCCTTTCTGTTCTTTGCAAGTGTATAAATTTGAAATTTGACCCAACAGCTCGGATGAAGCGACGATTTTTTGCTCGTTACTCATACACTTCCATTTTTATTCTACGAAAATAGAACAAATCAGCAAGGATCCAATCAAAGGATCATCCAATGTTATGGAGTATGGAGATTTAGATTTTTTTTTTTTTTTCTTATTTGGTCCTTTTGTTTTAGAGCAATCGGTGATGGGTGTAAAAGATTCGGTCACTGCCGAATATAATTTTATTAATTCTCAGAGTTCTTATAATCAGTTAACAAAAAATGGACAAAGGCAGACTATCGCGCTCGACACAGAAGTGGAACTGCTATCCGCTAGCAGTGTATTCGAAAATCATTCCACAAGAAAGTAAAGGAGAACAAGCGACTTAGTTCTTAAAATCTTTTAGGCAGAAATTCCAGATTATAGAAGGATTTCTCCTTTGGTTTAAAAATGAATAAATAAATAAATAAAAATTTGGATAAAACGCCTGCGTAACCGATTTCTCACATAGATGGCTGGGCTTTACGCTTATTTTCTAATTTAGGGTCGGCTGCTGGCTGTCAACGTCGAACACGCATTCGATTCAACCATCTTGAACGATAGTGCATTCGATGCCGACAGCCATAAATCGGTCTTTGATCGGACGTCTAAATTACCGCTAAGTCAAATATCAACTTCTATTGGAAATTTGTACGTCTGTCCAATTTCCAATCATTCTCACGACTGTTATGGCTAAAAAATCTCAAGCCTTCACCCTAATCAGCAATGTCTTTATTTTGCCAGTTTTCTGAGTCCTATTTCGGCTCGTGTCCTTGAGTGGTGGATATAAGGAAAATATATTTTGATTATTAAATATTTAAAGTTTTGCTTTGTTTTCTTTTTTTTTTCTTACTTTACACATCAATAATTATCCATTGGACAGCTCGCACCTATACTTGTATAGATATGAAATTTCTTCATTTGTTATTAAAATTTTTTTTCTTTTTGATGTAACAAAATAGGTTAATTTACGTTAACATAAATACATATAATGATATTATGAAATAATTTATAAGAAAAATTCGGGTTCGCAACCGTCGGGATTGACCTTTTAATGGAAATACCTCAATTCAAGGGTTAATATAAACTTCTGCATTGCTTGCAATAGCAAATGGAAAAATCTTTCATTATCATTTTCTTAAAATTTCAATAACAATGTTCCAAATGTTACGGTTGCTTCAACTATACTAAATGACTTGTTTTATTTATTGATGACACCCTACAGCGCTTGCGGCGCAGGAGTATATCAGGTTTGTGCGGATGTATGCAACATCCATATAGGCCGATCGTTTTTCGGAATCACTTTCTGAATCGATCTAAGCTTGTCAGTCCATCTGTCCGCCTTGTTTTCCTTTATTCAACCTACAAGCGGTAATTTTTGGGATATTTCATAGAAAATTGGTTCACCAGTGAGTTTCGGCTCAAACGCGAACTCTTCAATCGCATTAGTCGGGTCGGACCATTTTTTCTATCAATTGCGCTTATTTTAAAAAGTCGTTATATGGATAGGTGTAGGTTGGTGTATGGTAGGCTGATAGGGCGGTATTTAATGGGGATAAAGTGACCCACTGTAGTGTTACTAACGACGGAACATCATGTTTATAGTAACCCTTTTTTGATAGGTCAGATAAATAATTGTAGGTAACATTTATATTACTACGAGTGTAGTTGCACATACATTATCACCTATACGACTTCTCCTGCACTAAAGGCGCTAAATTTCATAGTTTGTAAGGAAAGGTTTGGATAACAAACGATAAAAAGACCAAAAGACGGATAGACACGGCTAAGCTTTACAATTTCGAGTTTGTCCAGACTCTGTGTAGACATCCTTTGTGGAACACATAAGAAAAAAATCGTTCTAGCAATGGGAAAATGCAAGTATTAGAAGCGTAATAAAAACTCCGTTTTGTTACCATAAGTTTGCTCGAAGGAAACAACCCTAAGTCTAATAATGGAAAGACAGTTGAACAAGTGTAGATCGATGCAGAAAATGATTCGCGGGCGATCGGTATAATAAAAATTAGGCCCATCTCAAGTCGTTTTTTTGTATTCCATACACCCACACAAACTGGCACCACAAATGATCTAAGCTATAATGAAAGAGAGGAGGCATGATGTCAGCTAGTGGGTCGCCTTTAAACAAAGTATTGTCTGATGTACTCGCCCAAGCGTCCAGTCAATGCAGCTTAACGATTCCTATGAATCCCACTACCTGATGTAGATCTGAACACCTGTTGAGGAGGGAGTTAATAATTGTGTGCTAAACGCGTGGTGGTGTTTGTTTTTGTAAATGGCTCAAGATGCTATAGAACGTTTTAGGTCTCAGCTAGTTTCGACCTTTAATCGAAAATTTACGAGTTAATAATTGAAGCAATTACGGAATTGGAAATAATTTTTGGAAAATTATTTTTAAGATATCGAACGGAAAGATTTTAATTGCTATTGCTTTCTCAACATCGATTTATAATTATGAAGAGAGAAAATAAAAAAACAAAACTCAAGAACTTAAATATATATATATATATATATATAATGCGAATGAAAAAAATCAATTATACATATATGATGAAAAAACAAAAAAGAAAAACAAATATTGCTAATAAGCCAACTATGTTATGAAATGGCAACAACAAGAGCAACAAAAGATCTTGCTATTATAATATATAAAATTTTCGAAACTATAATAAATTTAATTTAAAAAAAAAATGTATCAAAAAATTATAAACCAAAATCTCTACTAGATTTCTGTAAATTTCTGTAACTACATTAAATTTAAATAAAGTTTTATTATTATTCGCTTCATGTGTTTGTTGTATTTAATAAAAGGAACAAAGAAAAAAGTTTATTAAGAAAGTGGCTGCCTATCGTTAGGCGCGAAAATTTTACATTGTCACTTTTTGCAAGTTTAGATTTAACACATTTGAGGAGACAGTCTCTCGCTCTCTCTCTCTTAACAGATTCGATGCATTGCCATTTATTGAACGCAACTCTGTGCTCTCTCT